GTGAGTATTGGCTGATAGAGAAAGGGTGAATATATGCTGAGAGAGAGGGGGTGAGTACAGGCTGATTGAGAAAAACGGATGAGTATAATATGCTGATAATGAATGGGTGAGTATTGGCTGATAGAGAAAGGGTGAGTATAGGCTGCTATAGAATGCGTGAGTATAAGCTGATAGAGAATGGGTAAGTATGAGCTTATGGAGAATGGGATAAGAGTATAAGTATAGAGAAGGGGATGAGTATATGCTGATTGAGAATTGGGTGAGTATAGGCTTATAGAGAATCGGATGAGTATATGCTTATAGAGAATGAGTGAGTATTGGCTGATAGAGAAGAGGATGAGTATATGCTGATAGAGAAGGGGTGAGTATTGGCTGATTGAGAAGGGTGTGAGTATACGCTGATTGAGAAACGGATGAGCATATGCTGATAATGAATGGGTGAGTATTGGCTGATAGAGAAATGCATGAGTATAGGCTGATAAAGAATTGATGAATATAGGATGATAGAGAATGGGATGAGTATAGGATGACAGAGAATGGGTTGAGTATAATCTGATAGAAAATGGATGAGTATGAGCTTATGGAGAATAGGTGGGTATGAGCTAATGGGCATGGGTAGAGTATAGGATGATATACAATGGTGAGTATTGGCTGATGAAGAAGGGGATGAGTATGAGCTTATGGAGAATGGGTGAGTATGAGCTTATGGAGAATGGGTACAGTATAGGATGATGGAGAATGGGGTGAGTATAGGCTGATGGAGAATAGTGGGTAGTATGGGCTAATATAGTATGGATGAGTATTGGCTGACAGAGACAGGGATGAGTATAGGCTGATACAGAATGGGTGAGTATTGGCTGATTGAGGAAGGGTTGAGTATAAGCTGATAGAGAATGGGTCAGTATAAGCTGATAAGAGAATGGGGTGAGTATTGGATGATACAAAATGGGGTGAGTATAAGCTAATAGAGAATGGGTGAGTATGAGCTTATGGAGAATGGGTAGAGTATTGGATGATAGAGAATGGGGTGAGTATTGGATGATAGAGAATGGGGTATCGCTATTTCCTCTATTAGACGCTGCGTCTCTAATACAAGTCAGGTCTCTAATACACGCCGGTCGAACGGCTCTGGCGAAATTAATAGACGTCCATGCGTCTGATAGAGGAAATAGGGTACGTTTGATATCTGATGTTTTGGCGACGATTTTGACGTCGAAACCCTGCCTGCTTCGATGATGAGATAACAAGATGTTCTGTGCCATCATCACAGTGTTAGAAATAGATACCGGGTGCTCCTGTATTTGAAGCGCTCTACTCTCCGCTGCGGATTACGTCACGGGAAGTAGAAAAGCCCCAGATGGTATCAAAAAAGCAAATCTGCAGCTAGTCATGTGATTACTTTTCACGCTCTAATACCTAATTAAACTTGATGAAATTCATTTCAGAACATCCTCATTTAAGCAAAGCATACACGAGCCACTGAGCAAGGGCCACAGCTGTTATACTTCTTTTACATGCTAGGGTCGAATGCCGTGAAACCTTGAAACTGACAGGTCACAATGATGAGTCAAATGAGCAATCCCTCATCAGCTCGAGTCATAGGCTACCATGCCAGCTTGTGGTCAGCTCGTGTCATTGGCTACAATGCCAGCTCGTGGTCAGCTCGTGTCATAGGCTACAATGCCAGCTCGTCGTCAGCTACAATGCCAGCTCGTCGTCAGCTCGTGCCATAGGCTACAATGCCAGCTCGTCGTCAGCTACAATGCCAGCTCGTCGTCAGCTCGTGTCATATGCTACAATGCCAGCTCGTGGTCAGCTCGTGTCATAGGCTACAATGCCAGCTCGTCGTCAGCTACAATGCCAGCTCGTCGTCAGCTACAATGTCAGCTCGTCGTCAGCTCGTGCCATAGGCTACAATGCCAGCTCGTCGTCAGCTCGTGCCATAGGCTACAATGCCAGCTCGTCGTCAGCTCGTGTCATAGGCTACAATGCCAGCTCGTCGTCAGCTCGTATCATAGGCTGCAATGCCAGCTTGTGGTCAGCTCGTATCATAGGCTACAATGCCAGCTCGTCGTCAGCTCGTGTCATAGGCTACAATGCCAGCTCGTGGTCAGCTCGTGTCATAGGCTACAATGCCAGCTCGTCGTCAGCTACAATTCCAGCTCGTCGTCAGCTACAATGTCAGCTCGTCGTCAGCTCGTGTCATAGGCTACAATGCCAGCTCGTCGTCAGCTCGTGCCATAGGCTACAATGCCAGCTCGTCGTCAGCTCGTGTCATAGGCTACAATGCCAGCTCGTGGTCAGCTCGTATCATAGGCTACAATGCCAGCTTGTGGTCAGCTCGTATCATAGGCTACAATGCCAGCTCGTCGTCAGCTCATGTCATAGGCTACAATGCCAGCTCGCCTTCAAAACGGCTGTTCAGTCATATTCCAGTTCCATTGCCAATCACGTTGCAGCAACAGTCTCATTCCCAGTAAATCTACATGTAAATGTTGACCGACATCATAGATAGGTCTTGTCATCTTGCGTCATGAAACTTGTCAGAGGCACGGAGACTGTCAACAACAACATTGGCAGCCATTGACATTAGTGACTTGTCCCGCCACATCCCAGTTCAAGTTGGAGAGTCATGTTTGTTGAATTTGTATTATTTGCCGGGGGTAAATGCGAGCTGACTAATAAGACTTACACATTTAAAGTAAGTAACAGAATGTTAAGTCATACATTTTGTTGGAGAAATAAATTCGTTTTATTTCTAGAACCTGCCAACCCGACAATGGGAGATTTCATTGTTGATTTCCAAGAAATGACTTGTCCCACTGAATTTCAAGAAATGACCAGACCAAACAGTGCAAATATGCAACAAGTTGCGATTTTATTAAACCCTATATTTTTTTACTCAGTTTGGTGGATTTAAATTTGATGTAGTCCCACTGCAGAGTAGACTACTAGGCCCCTTATTTATTTATTTATTTATTTATTTATTTGAAACCTCGCGCTAAATTAAAGAGTTCGGCTGGAATCCACATTAGGACTTCATCAAATTTCAAAACAGTGGGTTTATCTCCTAATTGACTGTTCTGTTACTCGTGTTTTTGCAAACTAAGAAAATAACACGAACATGCCATCCTTAGTTTTTTTTAATGATATTGAGCTTACCAAACAAATTTCCTTTCTGTCCAAATGCGTAGCCTATTGCCGCTAAAAACTGCAGAAATGTATTCATTAATAGAACTTTTTTATACAAATAAATTTAGTTTTAGAAATCAAAACAAACCTTACATAAACAAACCGTTTAAAAAAATAAAATGTTATGCAAAATAACCATGCATAACTTATGCTTTCATGTACATGGGTACATGTTGTTATGTAATAGTTTAGTTATTTAATCCCTGTGACATTTACTCAAATCTATCACGGTATTCATTTTCAGACAAAGTAAACTGCCCGTGAAACACATATGGCATTGCGTAAGAGTGCTTTTACAATGTGTACACCTTGAAAATATCCCGAGAACATACCGACATGCGATATACCACCAGGATCAATGCGTCTAGGATGAAGGTCGTTGCAGACAGGCGACTGGTAAACCACACACATACATGATAGTTAACGCGTCGATATTATATACTCATCGTTTCTTCAACCTAATACACTGTTGGTTAGATATACAGTTAGCTAACTGTGTGACTACAGATATCTTATGTTCATATTTTCTTGCTAATACATGCTTTGTGTGTTGAAATCGTGCGCGTTAGAAAATATTCACTTTTCGTGTTTAAATGAAAATGTTATCAAAATGTTATGAAATAAACGTGAAACTGGTTTTGTTTGTGTATTTGTTTGTTTAACGCCGCACTCAGCAATATTCCAGCTATATGACGGCGGTCTGTCTGGACCAGGCAATCCAGTGATTGACATCATGAGCGTCGATCCACGCAATTGGGATACGATGACATGCATCAACCAAGTCAGCGAGCCTGACCACCCGATCCCGTTAGTCGCCCCTTGCGACAAGAAGAGTTGCCTTTTAAGGCAAGCATGGGTAGCTGAAGACCTATTTACACTTAGATGGAATACGGCGTTAAACAACAAACAAACAATCTACGGATGAAAACTAGTCAAATACGGTCTGATTGCAAATTACTACCAATCAAATTCGCGGGGAAACAATACTATTCTCTCATGAATAATTGTCCCAGAGTATTTATTGTCAAAAACATTCTTCAAAACATCGTTAAACTTTTGTTTACCGTATTGGACATTACCTTGCACTTCTGGAATACGTCACTTCGTGTCAGCAGCAAATGGAATTCCTCCCATCCTCCATTGTCATTGGCTAATAACAACCCTCCCGAAATCTCTCATTATGATAGTTTGGCACCAAAATCCGAATGTACAACACAAGGTCTTTGAATGATAGCGGCGCAATATCATACCAGTACTCGTCAATTCTTCAAACGATCAGTGCGCTACTTATGGTTAGCATGCATCGCTAACTTCAGGCAATGTGCAGAATGATGTTAAATCATACTTACAACAACCTTTGTAGAAGCATGTTGTCAGTCCAGTGATAACAGAAGACACTACCATTTCGCTTTTTACAAATATCTAATTTTCAAACATGGCAGAACTGAAGATTTTACGTCCGTTTCCCCCGGTTTGTGAACAGTATTTGTTTGAAATATTTGTTTGTTTCTTTAACGCCGTGCTGAGCAATATTCCAGCTATATGATTGCCATCATGAGCATCGGTCAACGCAATTGGGATACGATGACATGCATCAGCCAACTAAGCGAGCCGGACCACCCCGATCCCGTTAGTCAACGGTGGTAGAAGAGCATCAAATAACGTATACAAACATGATGAGTATGACAGCTCAATACTTCATACAAGTGTGTGTTTTTATGCAAAGTAAAATCTAAGTGCAAAACATACAAAGTATATCAAGATAATTATTCTTTCAGGTTATTTTCAATAAGTCAAACACGTATATGAAATATGCCAGGTGCTTCAATTCCTTTAAGCTGTTAAAATATAGCAGGCGTCTATATTTATAGTTATTCGGCCATGGAATATAATTTTCTGACACATGACAACCTTGACAGACTGTATTGCATTTGAATGCGTAATGAAACTCATCTGCAACAGCTGGCAAGTCACACGCCTCACATGGTCGGTAGCCCTGGAAATCTGTTGACATTTCAATGTTTGGAAGTTATTTCAAAACAGTTTGTTTTCTATAGGATTGGTTGATTGGTTGGTTGGTTGTTTAACGCCGCAATATTCCAGCTATATGACGGCGGTCTGTAAATAATCGAATCTGGACCAGACAATCCAGTGATTGATATCATGAGCATCGATCCACGCAATTGGGAACGATGACATGCATCAACCAAGCCTGCGAGCCTGACCACCCGATCCCGTCATTCGCCCTTTTACGACAAGCATAGTCATTGTAGGTTGGAAAAATAATCCTTGTCAGAGATGTACCCGTTGAATTAACTAAACATCAGTGGCTACACTCACTCGTAGAGTCCTGCACCATGGCTGTGGAATATAGGTATTTTATAAAACCAAAACCAAATATCTTGATAATAAAAGAGCAAGTCCAACCAGCTTTTTTGGAATCAGCATCAGGAAAAAAATTGGGAGGAGAAAATTGTATTGTGTAATAAAATAAATTATAGACTGTATGTCAGTCGAGTGGAATTGCTAGTTCACTCCTGGTAATTATTCATATACAACACAAGTGGATCGATGCTCATGTCAATCACTGGATTGTCTGGTCCAGACTCGATTACTTACAGACCACCGTCATATAGCTGGAATATTGCTGAGTGCGGCGTTTAACAACAAATAAACAAACAAACAAATAAAAACACCCACAATTGGAAGGCTGTGTGTTGCAATACCTATCAGATATGACAGATTAACTAAGTCACGCGAAAACAAACAGGCCTAGGTGGAATGCAGGCATCGTTTTTTTCAGAACCGAACAGGACTGAATGTGACAATGATTGATTTAACCCGCCATGCGTATAATCCAATCTGAAACCTTAACTGAAAAAAGACAACAGTACAACAAAAAAACAGTAAAAACATTCACCTATCATGCATAATTAATTGATGTCCTTCGGTTGTCATGCGAGGGCTGTATTTATATCATGAATTGTGAATGTTGACGAACAATACCGGCAAACAGTACTATGCACAAGCGTTCACCTGCCAGCGAGGATCGATATTACCTTATCAACACAAAAACCTCATGATGTGTGATGAGTGAATCATTCACTGCCAACACAGTTGTCCCAGGACTGTTGGAAATGAGTTGCATCTTGTCCCGTGTCACGATGTTAATGTGACACAGAGGAAACGTCGGTCTTTTGTGTCTGTCGTCTCTGTTGTGCTTCCTTTGTCTGCTGTCTGCAGTGCCCCTCCCTTTGCTGAGTATGCTATCCATACTTTGTGTCTGCTATGTGTGCAGTGTCTCTGTTATTGTTGTGTCAGCATTGATTACAGTGTCTGCTCTGTCCGTCTCTGCTCTGTCTGCAGTGACTGTTGTCTTGAAAGGTCTGCTGTCTTTTCTGTGTCTGTTACCTCGGAACTGATTGATGTATCTGCGGTGTCAGCTGTCTCTCCTGTGTGTGGAGTGAACTCAAGGCAGACCACGAAGATTTGATCCTCATTTAAAATATTCGAGTTCGAGTCTGTAAACCACAGAGTGGCATTTGTAGAAAATATTTTTTTTGTGTCCAGGTTCACGTGACCTTTTTCGCATTCGCAAATCCGTCACACATCAATACACATTTGCCACAGAATGCAAAATGAATTCGGAGAGATTTTTTATCCATTTTACTTCATATAACATCATTTTCATCGCACATCTACAAATGCATGATGCGCCACTTAGTTGCCATAAAAAGGCGTTTGGACGATATTAGTCTCTGGGCTGCCTTCAAATATGTCTGTTGTCACCAAAGAGAGCACACCACCGTGAATGTAGTTTACTTGATCACTGACAGTAACGTCCCTCGCTTTTCAGTCAGCAAACACCCCCCTACCCACCTGTGATCTTATTCTGCTGTTTTTCGACAACAGTACCGTAACACATCCCGAGAGCAACAGTTGGAACACGAATCCTTGCACAAGCAACTGGGACGAGACACTCGACAGTTTGGACAGGAGCAGGAGTCTCCCTTACACGCCTTCTTGATGATAACTTCACTGCAGAGAATTCCCATGGCAAGAAATAAGCCCACCCCTGCAGCATAGAAAGCACTCTGTAACGCAAGCAGGCCGACCCTCTTGGCCTCAGTCGAGGTTTTTGCACAACTATGAGTTGGTTTCCATTTCCGATGCCATATCTGAATAAGACCACTCTCTTGAATCCGCAGGAGTCTGAAAAAGGGGGTTAGAGAGTAAGTTTGGTCTAACGCCATTTTGAAGCATTATTTCAATTTATCGCGCCATGTCGGCTTGAAATGGGAAAAATCCCGAAGTGATTCGGGTCACTACGATGGTACTAGAATGGTTCCCGCAAACCTTGATGCATCATCAGGTTGAGATTAGAACCCACCTCGCATAATGACACAAGTCTACACAGAGAACTGTGGTACCTTAGACCACTGTGCCACCAATAGATCTAAGGCTTCATTTCCAAAATCCGATGAATTCCATTCTCGTCACAAACGTTGTTCTTCTCTCAAACGATGCCGACACTCCGTGTTATAACATAGATACTGTTCACAACGGTGTTTCAAAAACACACTCACTCATTCTAAACGAAAAAGAGTGTCCTGCATATTAAATATAGCACTTATTTATTTCGCTTGAGTAATTTGACTCATTTAAATTTCGATAACATATACCAGCAAAAATGTATAACTAAAACGGTCCTAAAAACAAGTGGAAATAACTTGAGGGAAATAGTCTTGACCTTGGACCTCCATAATCTTGTTAGGGAGACTAACTAGTTTGGTATTGATACTGTTGTTGGGGAGACTCTCTGTTCAGGTTGCTGTTTTGGAGAACGAAATACTGTTCAGGGAAGAGTTCGGTATTAATAATGTTGTTGGGGAGAACGATTTACTGTTCAGTGAAGACTTTGGTATCGACACTGTTGTCAGGGAGACTTACCTTTCAGTGAAGAGTTTAGTATCGACACTGTTGTTAGGGAGACTTACTGTTCAGTGAAGAGTTTAGTATCGACACTGTTGTTAGGGAGACTTACTGTTCAGTGAAGACTTTGGTATCGATACTGTTGTCAGGGAGACTTACTGTTCAGTGAAGACTTTGGTATCGATAGTGTTGTTTGGGAGACTTACTGTTCAGTGAAGACTTTGGTATCGATACTGTTGTTAGGGAGACTTACTGTTCAGTGAAAAGTTAGTATCGACACTGTTGTTTGGGAGACTTACTGTTCAGTGAAGACTTTGGTATCGACACTGTTGTTAGGGAGACTTACTGTTCAGTGAAGACTTTGGTATCGACACTGTTGTTAGGGAGACTTACTGTTCAGTGAAGACTTTGGTATCGATACTGTTGTCAGGGAGACTTACTGTTCAGTGAAGACTTTGGTATCGACACTGTTGTTAGGGAGACTTACTGTTCAGGGAAGAGCTTAGTATCGACACTGTTGTTAGGGAGACTTACTATTCAGTGAAGACTTTGGTATCGACACTGTTGTTAGGGAGACTTACTGTTCAGTGAAGAGTTTAGTATCGATACTGTTGTTAGGTAGACTTACTGTTCAGTGAAGAGTTTAGTATCGGTACTGTTGTTAGGGAGACTTACTGTTCAGTGAACACTTTGGTATCGATACTGTTGTTAGGGAGACTTACTGTTCAGTGAACACTTTGGTATCGACACTGTTGTTAGGAAAACCAATACCATACGTCATGGGGTAGAATCGATCATCTAGTCCATCTATGTCACATGATTTGGACAGCCACAAGTCCCACGTCGTAGTGTCTCCGATGTAGGCGTATTTCTCCGTCAACACCTTGCGAAAGTGCACATCTAAATTAAGGCTCTGAACGTCCGGATCACTTTTCGTGTTTCCCTCGACACCTTGCCATATCCTTCTGAAATCACTTCTGTTTGACGTCTGTACATAGAAACCGTACGGTCATAAAGGGTGAGGTGAGGTTCAACTTAAAATTTACAACTTACAATTTACAACTTGCAACTTACAATTTACAACACTTGCTCAGAAATTGTTTGATCAAGGTTATAAGTTTTATGGTTGACATGTGGGGGACATTTCCAAATTTCCATTTCCGCTACAGTGACAAACATATATCCGATCCAATTCCCTATTTTGACATGTGTTTGTGACGGGTACCACAGGTTGGGTAGGATACGATCAACTTTTCGCGAACACCTGGGTGTGGGTGTGGATGTGTGTTGGTGTGTGCGTGTGCACCAGTCCGGACTAATGCCGATTTTATAGTGCTCGCCCACTGAGATTAAGTATTAACGAAGTTTAACATGGATACCCCACAGACTCCGAGCCGGCCAGCACTTATTTTATCCCTTTAATGCCTAGCGCCAAGCAGGAAAACAAGTCCCATCTATAAGCGTCTTTTTGTATGACGCAGTCGGGAATCGAACCACCGACCTTCCGTTCTCCGGGTAGACGCTCTATCCACCAGATATACTGACTCCGAGCTGACCTGACTTTGTTTTAGCCCCGTAATGTTGAGCGCCCGGCAGGGTAACAACAAGTACCATCGTTTAACGTATTTCGGTATGACACGACCGGGGATCGAACCCCGAACCTTCCGCTCTTCCGGCGGACGCTCTACCACAAGGTTACAGAGGCGGTTACTATTTGATAGTCAGAAACATCTGAAAAACATGCTCATGATATAGTCAGAATCGTACAATCGACTCTGTTTTGGTACAGTTTTCCTATGACTATGGAAGGGTTTGTCGCTTTTTTTTACGTTATTGCACTTATAAATCGAGGGCGTGCGTGAGTGAGTGCATGAGCGCGTGTATGCAAATACTAACGACGGTAATGCCGAGCTCCCGGGTAGCAAGAGGCACCATCTTGTAACGTCTTTCGCATGACGCGGGCGGGGATCGAATCACTGACCTTGCGCTCTCTCGAGAGCTGCCTACAATGTTATCTATTCTTTACCAGATTAACATGGCTTGGATGGTGTCAGCATAGCCACACAACCAGGTGTGAACTGAGAGTATGACGATATTTGAAGCTGGACGGATCTAAACGACTCTGGACCAGGCAACCCTAATTGATATTATGAACAACGACCACTCTCTAGCGGAGTACGATGACACGCAATCAACCACGACCACCCGATCCATTTAATCACCTCTTACAACAAGCAACGGCTGCATTGTTAACTATTCCTGCCTTGGATCCCAACGCGTCAAGGTTGCTTTATATTAGGGCTGGGACGAGTCCAAATTTACTACCCGGGTACCCACCACTTTATCACCCGACCCTACCCTGGTACCCGCTGTAGATATTTAGAGATAGGTACAAACTGTCCGATTTGGAAAAGTTTGACCTTTGCCCTGGCAAAATGTATTTAGATACACGTGTAAAACGATCTGGTCATGCATACACTGAAGTTTACTGCATGAAGTTTTATCTTTATTCAAACATATAAATGTCAGAAGGAATTGGTACATTGTCAGAAAGAAATGGGGACATTAGTGACTTATAGTGTATCCCATAGAGTTTTAGATAAATTTTTTTCATAATACATAAATCCTCTGGGTACCCGGGTCCTACTCAGAACCCAACCGCCGAGAGTACCCGAGATACCCGTCCCAGCCTTACTGGAAATCTAGCTAGTATCCCAGTTGGGTAAATCTATGCTCATGATATTAATCACTGGATTGTCCGGTCCAAGAATCGCAAACAAACATACACGACGTGGGTACACAAAGAATATATGACAACTTACCTGAAACAGTGTTATAGCCGCGGATCCCCCGAGCAGTCCCCATTTGTACTCATTCTGCTCCACCATCTCTCCGAGAGTATCGAAGGGGGGTTTCTCCGTAGTTACGGTAAGGAACGCTATGAGGTTTCCACTGTAGGTTGCCGCCAGGATGACCGTCAGCAACCACCAACACGCCAACACCGACCGCCCAGACTGGGTTCTTGGGAGGTATGCGCCACCTAGGGAACGACAGGAATAGTCTTAGTTGTTGCAAGGTTATGCGTGCTGTACTGACATAACTGTATGTTGAAATCCATTCCCAAACCCATAAAAACAAACAAAACATCAGAAGCAGCAGCAAAACCTATCCTCCCTACTTAAAACCAATACCCTAGTGGAGAAGAAATCAGAAAGAGAACAAAATCACACGAAATATTTGTAATTTTTTTACAAATCTAAATTGGACTTTCGAACATTAAGAGACACGAAGAAGAATTTATATGTGTTCATGAATGTCGGTGCGCTAAATAACCTTCAAGCAGTAAAGAAGACAAAGAGAATGGCTTGATAGTATGATGTTAAATGTCAAATCGTATCCAAACCGAAAGGCTTGGTTCCGTTGAAAACAACCCAACTTACCATTTGCCATAAGAGCACCGAAATGATACCATAGAATGTCCCCAAAACGTATGCGGAGTTCGGACAGACGCCTGTCCAGCCATACATTCACCGGGTGCACTTCCTCCACCACGAACAGAAACACCGAGGAAAAGATGAGGGAGAAGAGGATACAGATGTGGACCTCGTACCGGAAGGGCGCCACAAGGGTCAACCACTGGTTTCCTTCCGGGTCCTGTTTGGCCAGGATTATCATGGAGTGGACATAGAAATAGGCTTGCGTGAAGTCCATCACTGTCTCGCGGACATCGCTTATTGTTATGGGTGCAATAACCATGTCGGTTCTCTGGAAGTAAACGTGTTTAGGTAAATGTAGGTCATTTCTTCTTGAAGAATGACGTGCCAACAGTTACACAGAGTTCAAATCACTGATGTTTTGTCGTCGAAGACGCCACTATTTGCTTAGTTGTTTGCACGTGGGTTTTCATAAACTAGAAACATGTCTACCTGTCGATATAACGAAAGGTCGATGATCATATCATCGTAACCGCTAATTTGCCTTTTAAGCCAAATGGCATCAGTTTCGGCAGATAATTTCACCGGAGTGGTAAACGTCTGAGACCTGAATCACTTTGGGCTTTCCTCCCATTTTAAGCATACACGCTGAAATATAACTGGATACTGTTGAAAGCGGCGTTAAACCCAACTCACTCACTCACTCCGACAAACTATATTATTAGTGCTGCAACTTCCTCCCACACTTGAGTACTTGTGTTACAGCTTTAATATGCCAGAAACCTGTGATTGTGGGTGCTCGTGGGTTTCCCCAAAGTGGTAAACGTCTGAGACCTGCATCACTTCGGGCTTTCCTCCCACATTAAGCTGACACGCCGTGATGTATCTGGAATACTGCTAAAAGCAGCGTTAAACCCAACTCACTTACTCACTCTGACAAACTATAAAATTAGTGCTGCAACTTCCTCCCTCACTCGAGTACCTGTCTTACAGCTATAATATGCTGTAACATCGCCGGCTGTAGCTTTTACCATCCACTCCCTCATCAGCCGTTATAGTGTCTGTGATTTGTAAAAATTCGGAGTCGCCACGGTACTATAGAATTCCCATGATTCGTAACTTGTGACGAATGTCACTAGTGGGGAAGGGGGACTCGTGTGGCCAAGTCGACTTAGGCGCCGTGATTCGCAGTGCAGGGTTGCGTCCCTTGGGCACGCCAGAAACCTATGATGTGGGTGCTCGTTGGTTTCACCGAAGTGGTCAATGTCTGAGACCTGCATCACTCCGGGCTTTCCTCCCATATTAAGCTGACACGCCGTGATGTAACTGGAATACTGTTAAAAGCGGCGTTAAACCAAACTCACTTGCTCACTTACCAGTGGGGAAGATAAGCTCACGTGCCAATTTGCGAACACCTGGTACCAGATATAGTCGGAATCGTACAATGGACATTTCCACATGATAGGATAGAATCGAAATGTAACACATTTGCGTTTGATTATTCTAAAATACTGACTATCTAAGTTTACAAAGATGTGAAGGTCTCCTACCCCGTTGGCAACATCGGCGATTAGTCCTGTCCAGTTGCCATCGATTATCCTGCCCCACTCCTGGTCGAGGGGCTCAACGAAAACATAACTGGAATAAAATACGTGTGTCATCAGCTAAGAAACTGATTATTACTGATTATTATTCTATGGTTGTACTAGTCCAGGATAGTACCGGTTCTAGCCCACTTCCGTTCTCCGATCTATCCAGTAGATATCGCAGGCGGTTCAATGATCGACTTTATCGTCGCTGTGGACAATAGTTTAGACATCACGGTATTACTAACATGGAAAGTCAATCGCAGGCAGCGACAGCTGCGTTGAACATCAAAAATACAAGTATGGTGCTCGCAGACCAGGGTACATCATCAGGACAAATTTGGATTCAAATCAGACCAGATCCTAAAAGTTAAGGGCCGCAACTCTGCTTATCGAGCTGAACCTTAACCTATTGTCATCAACTGGATGAGTTAATATGTACACTTCAGCCCTGTCCACTACGTACCTGAAGTTAAGTTTAAGAGAAAGTTCATTCAGCAAGTCCACGTTGAGGCCGGTGAATGTACGATTGTCTTTGGACTTGTATATGAATGGAGGCCACTGAAGAAACAGAGTGGAAATGGAGGTATGCTGCATTTATTAAAAATTCTAATATGCCTACATGTTTGGCCAATATATATTATTTCAGGTGTCGTAACTTTTAGATGTTAGTATTGGTTCTTCAGTTCGATAACGTGAGAGAGTAAGTGAGTCAATGGTTTTCCTCCGGTCCAAGAAATAGTGAGTGGATATGGTTTTACGCCGCTTTTAGCATTATTGGCCAGAAATGGGCTTCACACATTGTACCCATGTCGGGATTCGAACCCAGGTCTTCGACGTGGCGAACGCTTTAACCACTAGGCTACCCGACCGCCCCTCAAGAAATAGTTCGGCCATATGACGGCAGTTGACAAAAAGGCGCTCTACTCTCCTGGCTACCTTAAGTTTCCACCCCAGAATGGAAGACGAATGTTTCATATTTACAGTTGGGTGTTGAAAATTACTTTTATATTACGACTGATGAAACAGGGGCAGTTCAAAGACGTCACAATTCTCTTTGCCGAATTGCATCACAGACTCGTCCTAATGATGATTAAGCACAATACCCATGCGCGTGGACCTGCATCACTCCGAGCTCTCCACATTTAGTTAGTATGTGTTATGTGATAGAAGCGGCGTAAACCTATTTGACTCACTCACTAGCATGAAGCGTCAAGCAAGACTAATATAAGTATGCGGAGATGTTGGTCATCAGATTTTGATATTACAGGATGTCGTCGTCTCCATGTCCAACATACTTTAGGTCTCTGAATAGTATATAGAAGTGATACACATAAGAGAGAGAATCTTTGTTATGAAGAATACAAGGAGTAAATGCTTGCTCCTTTTCCGGTGACGTTGTGTTCCTCATAATAAAGAAGTTGACATCCATAACGTCTCTCTGTTATAATATTCTTACTTACATCGGGCCAAAGTTTGAACCGAAAGTTTGATTAATTGTCACATAGTGGGAGAATGACATACCGGCAATATCCCAACTCTGAAGTTTCGGTTATTGAAACCGTTTTTGTCATTTTCGAATATTTCATTCGACAGTCCTCCACTTTTATTCCGAAGTACACGACCATTCAGACGCAGACGTTGCCCATTGTGGTTGTCGTTCACGGTGTAGATGTCAGCCACGGCCGGCGCAGGGCTTGTTATCTGTCTCTGTAACAAAGACGATGTAACCTTCAGTGTACAGGACATATAAATATAAATTGCCAATGCAAGAGAATACCCAGCCTAGATTTTCTGCCGAAACTATGTAAATCTGTTTTGGTAATTATGATATTGTCATGTCATTTTAAAAAGCAGGAAACATCACTTTGTATCTTCCAGGTGAAACACAAGAAAAGGTTGAAAAATGAAAACTCCCCCGACTCTCCCGAACAACGTAATTGATTTTTCAATGACGTCATATATTATGACGTTATGGTGACACTGAAAATGGTATTGGCATTCCCGCCCCAAATAACCATATCCTCACCTAAGTTATATAATACACATCATGAAAACGTTTTCTTATCATTTCACTGCTTCGAAAACAACAACTTCCATATATATATATTCGAAATTGGAATAGGTTCACTATAGTCTTCGTTATACTGTTTTGATTTGTACGATGGACCAAATACCATAAGGTGTACGGTCAAATAAACAACAGAACGCAGCACTTCGGACAAATCACTTTTCGTTAAGCTTGAATATTTGAAGATGGACATTGTTTTTAACAATTTCTAATTATATTTATTATTCAATCTCATTAAAATCAGATCTTAGTTCTCGCTACCGCTAAACACAGATCTGAGGACATACCATTACGGATCACGTCAGAAACCTTTCGCGAATTTTGACCGACCAATGAAATGACTGACAAGAAATCGACATTAGCCAATCAGAGGGCAGCTTTCTCGAGCTTTACGACACTAGTTTCAAACTGGTGACTACGCTTCGAAACATATTTTGACGTATTCTCGAATAAGAAAATTAAAACTGATAAGAAGAACATTCTGGAATAGCTTATAGATGGCCTAGATTGTATGGATATAATCATAAAACCCGAAACTATCGTTCGGAATACCCCGTGTTAAATGTTTCGTGGTTGCATGATTAGAAAACACATTCCGACTGTCACTTTCATGATCTGGTAAGCGACGCTCTGATTGGTTGGATGAAAGGTCGTTCTGACGTGACCCTTAATGGGATGTCCTCAGATCTTTGTTTAGCGATAGCGAGAACTAAGATCAGATTTTAATGAGATTTATTTATTTTTCATCCTACCCGAACAGCTCGTTTCGTCAGCTCCACAGCCTCAGGCTTTGAAAGTTGAGAACCGTTCTTCGAAAACTGTTCTGTAACCTTCCAAACATTCTGAAATGAATGAGGGGAAATGTCCCATGTATATGAAAGTTCTTACAGGAACTATAAACAATGTACTTGATTCAGATTTGTCTTATCATTTATTTTCTCATGAGGCTTTAAACTATAAACGATTCATTATATGAAGAGAAGTATACGGCAGAGATACACTGAGATAAAGTGCCGGGCAAAAGAAAGTTTACACTTGAAAACTGGATTGGACCAACAAATTACACATAAAATATATTTCTTTGTCTTGAAAACACAAGATATAGATGGACCTAAACTTGACTTTTTAAAGAACGTTTGAACTTGAAATATACATAGAAAGAAAATATATAGTCTCGAGTTCGTTATTACCGTGAGAACAAAGTAATGGGAAAATAGAAAACTTGGATCAAACTATAACCCTTTTAAAAAACCGGCTTTTTAATTCTACGGCTGATTGTTCATACCTGGTTGTTTATGTCAGTATTCCACAAATGATTTCAATTCGGATGAGGAGACTGAGAAATTAAATTTTCTCATTTCTTCGACTGAACCAGATTGGGCTTTTTCTTTTAACTGCTCTATCTTGGTGATATTGTACTTACAAATGTGGGATATTGTTGTTGGCATGAGTGAAAGTGAAGGATGGACACATGGGCAGAATGGTCTAGACTCGGCGGCAGGGTCTGCTCGGTGCCGCCTCCTTCAGTCGATATCAACAGCCAACGAGACCGCTTCATTACCGTGCTCTTGCTGATTTCAGTCTTCAGCGACACGACCTGTACTTTGAATGATTAAAAATGGTTGTTAAGAGAGGGGCCCTAGTTTACAGTACTACATTCTAGACGTCAGGACATGTTGGATAGTTATTTAATATTTTTCATAATTAATGGAGGGACTCCGATAGAATTAGGCTGCCCTCAATAACACATGCAAATGTTAAGCCACACCGAAACCAATTGGTTGTCATCACTAGGACGAATGCTTTGTTTTCCTGTTACATGTAGCGAGTGATATTTGTCGCGTATGACGGTGTAATCTGACGTTATGACACCCTTGTGGCGCATGTTTTGAAATGATTGTGACGCACGTAAAGACATTAGTGTGACGAATGTAATGAAATGATTTTGACGAATGTAATGAAATTATTCAGATGTAAGTAAATTAGTGTAAGTAAATTAGTGTGGGGCATATAATGAAATGATTTTGGCAAAAAATGGGACACATGTAATGAACTTAGAATGTCTATGACACATGTCATGACAGCTTGTGACGCATGTAACGAAATGCGGTTGACGCATATAAACAAACGATTATGATGCGTGTGCTGCAATAGTTATGACGCATGTAATGAAGTGATTGTGACGCATGTAATGCAATGATTGAAACTTACGTAATTAAATTACTATGACGCATGTAATGAAATGATTGTGATGCATGTAATGCAATGATTGTAACTAACGTAATTAAATTACTATGACGCATGTAATGAAATGATTGTGATAGACTTAACATTATGAAGTGAAACGGAGTTTAACGTCGCATCCAAAGTTATTGCACTCATATTGCGACGTAGATGTACCTGTGTGTGTGGGTGTGGGTGTGGCTGCTTGTACTAGTTCGGATTAATGCCGATTTCATAGTGCAAGCCCACTGAGATACCATGCCGAAGTTTAACATGAATACCTCCACTCAGACACAGTATACTGACTCCCAGCCGACCAGTCCTTGTCCCCTTAATGCCGAGCGCCAGGCAGGGTAACAAGTACCATCTTTTAACGTCTTTTGGTATGACGCGGCATTGAACCCCGGACTTTCCGCGCTCCGGGCGGACGCTCTACCACTAGACCACGTAGGTCCGTAACACTATGATTGTGACTGATGAAGTGATATGTTTCTGAAGCACAAGAAATGATATGATTGTCAAGTATTGAAATGATTGTCAGTAGTTTGATTTCATGATCCTGGCGACTATCATTTTACTGACTATAATGATTCTGATTGTATCATATGTTTGCTATTAAATTATATATACTAGGCTAGGTAAATGATATGAGTGGTAAACCTATGTACTCAATCTTATGGTTACAAATCTTACCTGAACCATGATATTATAAAGACAATCAGAAGAACAAACAACGATGAAATTAAGATCCTCTTCCTCTATTGTATTGAACATATCCTTCAGGCTCTCTTTGGTAGAAAAGTTCCCATGTCTGTCCACAGTGAAAGAAACGGTCTTTATAACACACGATGGAAACCTGTTGGATATTTTCGCAATATCTGTGAAAAAAAGGTTATTATTTATAAATGACTGTTTAAAGTACACGCTAATGCCCGAGGGTTTTTTTACATTATGGTGATTCTCAACTTTATAACGCAATCTATATTCTAATTTTTCAATACACAGTGGTATATGTTTGCATATCTGTATTGGGAATTTTATATTCTATATATAAAATTTGATTATTTTTCCATTGCTTTCCTAATGACGGATTGGTCAATGAAAGCATTGGCTTGATGTATTAACGTTCCCGAGATTCTATTTATGTCTTACATAAGTTTATCTTTGAAACAAGCGTCACAACACTTTGGCTAAGTGTCATCATAATATACATGTAGCTACGCTACAACTTGAGATCACTTTTCAATTATGATTTTACATAATAAAAATAACTACAGATTTATATAGCGCTGGTATCCAGTTCGAAGAACTGCTCAAAAGCGCTTCATTTGAGTCTACACAAAAAAGAGACATTGCACAGCTAGGAAATCACAAAGCCTCAATACTCCAAGAAAGATTTGGTGAAAAGATAGGTTTTGAGTCTTGATCGGAACAAAGTAATGTCAATGTTCCTGATATCCAATGGCAGCCTATTCCATAGCTCAGGGGCAACTTTGGCGAAACTCCGACCTCCAAAAGTCGCCGTTCTAACACTAGGCACAGAGAGTAGGGACTGGCAGCTTGATCTGAGAGATCTCCCAGGCATGTACTCTTCAAGAAGCTCGCTGATATAAGTTTGTTTTTGATTGTGTCTCGCATTGAACACAATCAGCATCACTTTATAATGGATTCTCTCATTGATTTTGAGCCAGTGGAGGTTCCGTAGAATCGGTGTGATATGGTCAAACTTTTTGGATTTAGTAACAAGCCTGGCAGCACAGTTTTACATGCAATGAAATTTCCCTCACACGCTACACTGATGGTATTTCTTAATAAGACTCAGTCTTGATAAATGTTCAAATATGGTGTTTCATGTAATTGAATGTTGCATCGCCGATACATTGGTGATAATTTTAACAAGTACATGTCTTGATAAAATATATCGTGCCTCGAATTTGTTCCACTTTATCGACTAGGCCAGCGTTTATGTTCACTTGCTGTGACCATGTCTCCATTCCATTGCTGTAATATAGCATCAACATTGGTTCAGGAGCCATAATACTGCCCATTAATTGAATCCAAAGGAATATTGCTCACTCGGCCAGGCCTTATACTAATATTATCATGACAAGATACCATAGAATAATGTAACCAAAACATCTTACCTTCACTTGAGGTTGTAATCACGATGTAAGACTTGGCTTTTTCTCTACTCAGTAGGTAGTGCAAGGTGGTTAGGAAACCATCATCGAGACTAAATGATACACTCAGTTGGGGAAAATATTGAGTGATAGCATCAGAGTACATCTGCATGTCCCTTATATAGACAGGACACCGTGTCTTCAGCAGGTAAGTGCAGTTATAGAAGATGATACCACACTGAGGGACTATTGAAGAATGGCGGTCCAGGTAGGTAGCTCGACAGGCCTCCGGAGTAGTCTCAATCAAAACATCGCCCTTGAGAGATCGAACTGAAGACAGGGTATATAATGCAGATTTTAAGCAAAGCAGATAACAGGCTCATATTTTTCAAAAATACACATTTAAATGGTGGGACGCCTTGTGGAAATTGAGACGAAAAAGGGTTATCCAACAAAATTCCAAGATGGCCACTATTTTAATCAATAATCAATATGGCCGCCCATTTGTGTAACGGTAAACGGTAATGGGTAACTATTGCTATCGCATAGTATTAACGTACTCGTTTTTACATCTATCTTTATATTGGTTGCCCGGAGCGGTGGGGCAGTCCAGTGTTAAAATATTTGCTTGTCAGTCTTCTTCGTGAGTTTGAAATTTTTGCTGATGTCATTTCTGTCCATTGGAGGTTTGAACTATTTTTATCATCCAAGCTCTCATGGGAAATGATGGTTATTGTTGTCACATCGATATAGTCAGCAAAGGAATCGAGTTGCAGTTCAAGTGCTTATATTTCATTTGGGTCAACAGCTTGGGGAACTAATTTCCTTCAGTTGTGATCAAGTGATGTTTTTTTAATGTACTTGTTTCTACATTGCATGCACTATAGCTGGATGCTAACATGTCGGTAAGTTATTTTAGATAGGTTCATCAAAGTACCTCTACACTTGTAGATTGCCAGATTAAATCGCCAATTGGGACATTGACAGTTAATAAAAAAACATGCAGTTGCAGTGTAGGTTAATTGGTTGTATTGAATGCCATTTCATACAGTTCTTGTTACAACTGGGCCTTCACGCCGCGCTACTACAACTAGGATCATGATTTTACCTTGATATAACAAGGGGACTGAGGCAACTTTGACAGTTGCTCGGAAGATTCCATTCTCTACATATGTACAAAGTGGGAATTCATTAGCGCTATAATCAACACAGTACATGATTCACCAAACTGAAGAAGAGAAAATAATATCTACGTTGATGGTTAAATATACATAATCACATTTAAACAACAGTTCTTAAATTTTCAGTTACATAAAAACAAACTCGGTATGCTTTCGTTTGCATCTCAGTTTACATACACGATATTAAATATACACCATGGAGTAATGAAAGTTTAAATACCTGCTTTAGCTCTGGCGAAAAGATTACCTGCTGGTAACCTGGTCCAAGAAATGTTCAGAAACGTTTTATCATCACCCAAAGGGATGTTTTGTTGGCAATGGAGCTCTTCCGGGCAGTGCGGCGCTCCATTCTGTATTAATATGTCTACAAGCAAAAGAAATTGTCTTAATGCCGTGATATGTGTTACATGTCGACATCCATAATCCGTAAACGTGCATCATGCAAAACTGCAATCTGGCTACCTGCCCTTTGACCTATACTAAAGAGACATGGCTTTCTTGAAGGACTAAATAACCAAAACAAATTTTAGTTCATCGTCTGAAAATCATGGCATTAACAGGACTACCTCAGGGATAAAAGACACAACATCATTTCTTTCAATAGCTGTTTAAAGTTTATCGTCATGTTTGACAAGATAGTGTATGTAGCCAGGCACTCATCAATTCTTTAGGCGACTAAAAGTTTATTTCAGAAGAAGGTCATCCTGTGGGAATATGTTTAGTTTTAACCAAATCATCAGGAAATTTGCAGTATTTGCAAATTTAATATCTGGAAACGAGAACTGGAGTAGGAACTACTCTAATGACGCCCACATCATCCATTCGGTTGTTGGGAGACCTAGCAGGCATTAGTCAAGCTGATAACGTGATTATATAATTGTAATAGGCACTGACTTCGGCCTGAGACGTGCCTGAAACCTATTATCAAGTGCTTGAATCATATATTCTGTTTCTAGGTGTGTCGGCACCATACCCGAGCTCGTCGTTTCACCAATGGGTGTAAACGTCAAAGCCTGAATTATATCGAGCTTTCCTCCACTTGAAACTGACATGCCGTGGTACAACTGAAATGCCGTTTAGATTACGTTAAACTAAAGTGATTCATTCCCTCCTTTTACGTCAAATATGTGCTTTCCAACGTTGTAAAACCAAACCCACTCATTCAGGTGCACTTACTTAGTGACCTTGATCTTCACGCACAATAAGTGCTAACGGTTCCGAAAAAACGTACACTTTTCTTAGGGGAAGGATTGCTATATTCGCGATTTATAATTGTTTAGTATTCATTAATGCTCCTAAAATAACATGACATAAAATTATTCTCTTGTCATAATAATGTTTTTATCATCACAAAAAAGAATTATTTCAACCCTATCCAAACAAATTCAAATATTCAGCATCTGAGGTCAAAGCAAATTGCTAAAACGTCTTTGATCTGCGTTTCTTTTGGGCTGTCTTTGAACATTATTATGAGACATTTTTTAATCGGTGTTAAACTCGAACTGACTCACTGAAACAAGCATAAAGAGTTTACGTCAAACACCATCAAACAATTGCGCATGTGAGCGCCACGTCTGTACATCCATACTCAAAGTAATTCGAATCGACAAGTGACTTAATGCACTTTACACAGATAATGCATCCCCTCAGTCAATGTCTACAATACAATCAAATGTATTTCTTTTCAGGTATCATTAAATGTTCATATGCAAGGAGTTCTCTCAGGTATACAGAGTGTTGTAATAACCATTATCGTGTGGAGGCGTTTATACTGAGAGGCACTGAGAAATGTACGTTTAATTACCCCTGTTGCAGTGGGATGGTGCAGGAAAAAAACATTTGGCTTATCATTGTTGTCCGTAATGAATGTTTAAAGATCAACTAAGAGACAATCAATCGTGTACACTCAATGTCGACAGACTATGAAGTATGTCATACGGTACGAATGAACTTCTGATGGTAGTTGGTAGAAAATGACGTGTGCTGAAGTGTAGATATCGTCTACATTACATTAATATTCAGATGTCGTGCGTAAGCACGTCTTAAGAAGTGTAAACAAGTGAATGGAAGTGTTTTGCATATGTTTGCTGAGACCTCGCCGCGTAGAGAATTACATAGTTGCATTTTGAAGAAGAGAATTCAATGTAATAACAAGGTATAAAACTTCTTAAGCAGCGGTTGGTGACTGGGGGCTAACATGCAATATTGAACAGTGTTGAATAGAGGAAAACGATGTTATGGCTAACGTCAGCATCAGAGACGTGTGGTGGCACGTGATCCTGTGTACGGCGCACAGGTCCCACATCACGCAACGTTGATCGCGGAGAGTCCTTTGATAGGTGACCGTGTTCGGCAGCTCGGGCCTGAGAGTTCCTGGGTCTTCGGTCCTGCCCCACACCGAAGCACATGTAGCATGTGGTGTCTCCTTGAACAAGTGACATTGTACGAATAGCACCCAGCAGTGAATGGGTACCCGTTAGGATGAGATGGTAATGTGACTGTTAACCTTCCAGTGCCTCACAGGCAGCTTGGTTTTTATATTGCTGAGGGAGGTGAGAATGAAAATCTAGTGCACACTGATCCATTAACCGAGGTAATAATACTGTAGCGCTTCGAGCATACATTGCATGTGGAGTAATGCGCTTTACTGGATTATTATTATTATTATTATTATTATTATTATTATTATTATTACTATCATATACATATGAAAGTACTGGAGGCAAAATGGAGCAAAGAGGCTCATCATCAGCTAAGGGCCCCTGCCCCCTCTACACGCAGCCCAGACAGCGAATGGGACTTCTCCCAAGAAGCCCTGCTTGTCGAAATCACTCTGAACTTTTCAAAGACTGTGACTCTGCAGCCTTCTGCATTACCATGGTGGGTCTTTTCTAAACTTCCGCCCTACTACTTTTTGGCGTTTTGACATTGATTGCCCTGAGGAATGTAATGTCAAGCAAAGGTCTATCCAGGATATATTTCCTTGTGTCATTAAGTTTTATTTGGAACCGGGTTGCCTTTTGATGATTTTGTTTATTACCCTTTTGTGGTTAAATGTCATGGAAACTGTATGGAGTTCCTCCAGTGTTCGAGCAGCAACATACACGCAACAGTTAATATCATGCAAAGAACAGTACGCATTGAGAGTAGCAGAAATAATGTCATTTAATTAATTAAGCATGTTTTTCAATCGGTAAATCACAGGTTAGATTATAAAATTACAAAATATCCAAGGGGTCATCGGAAAGATCATCGACACAAGAGGGCTGGGAATAGGGGGAAACGCAAAATCTTCGATGCCGACATCAGAGATTTCATTTTGTGAGCTCATGAGTGGGTATCGGGTGTTTTAGGGAAAACAATGCGAACTTCCTTTTGCAATTTCGGGTCTGCTGCTGTTGTAACTAAGGATTCACACAAAGGCGCCTGGCGAGTGTTACCAGTTAGCTCACAAGGCTCATGGTGAATATACAACTTCAGTCGCCGGAGCTGGTCTCGAATATTCTGCTCTGTCAGGTATGTATACATTGGCATGGCTTTGTCCCAATGCTGCTTCAATAATTTGCCTTTCATTCGTGGTATTTCTGGCATTCCTGTTGCTTTCGCACATTCAAGAGGTACGTCCAAAATATTCTTGGATGGGTTCTTTGGCATGTCCCATCACCAGTTAGGTTGGTTTGTATACCTGAGGGAGGCTGACTGTGTCGTGGAGTTAAAATATGCGATTCTACATTGCGTTGTGTAAGCCAGTTTTGAACCAGTTTCGGGGGGTTAGGCATAACTGGGCGAATCACGCCATGTTGCAGGAACATTCCCTTCACCGAAGTTGAAACTTGGTATGTATGAATGCTCAGAGAAAAGTCGTAAACTCCCCATGGGCGATGACGTTGTGAAAAATACACCTGTCAGTATTGGACTTAAAGTATGAAACTGTTATGAAACTGTGATGGACATTTACCTCCACTTGGTGGGAACATGAGGTGAATTTATGTATGGACATACTCTTACACATCTGTTAATTACCCGGGTAAAAGACCAAGTCATTGTGCCATAAACCCGTTATGACCCTGTAATAAACCCACGCATGCTGCGGCATGACTGTTATAACGTAGTAAAACGCCCATTCAAGTTTTCATACCTTTGTCATAACCTGCTAATAAGCCCACTCATCATGCAACATGTATGTAGACATGCACCAAATTTATTACAGAGTCGGACTGTAGACATTCACCAATTACATGCAGTGTCGGACTGTAGACAAGCACTAAAGTACATCCAGTGTCGGACTGTAGACAAGCACTAAAGTACATGCAGTGCCAGACTGTAGACAGGCACTAAAGCACATGCAGTTTTGGACTGTAGACAAGCACTAAAGTACATGCATTGTCGGACTGTAGACAAGCACTAAAGTACATCCAGTGTCGGACTGTAGACAAGCACTAAAGTACATGCAGTGCCAGACTGTAGACAGGCAGTAAAGCACATGCAGTTTTGGACTGTAGACAAGCACTAAAGTACATCCAGTGTCGGACTGTAGACAAGCACTAAACGTACATGCAGTGTCGGACTGTAGACAAGCACTGAGGTACAAACAGGTTCGGACTGAAGACAAGTAATAAAGTACATGCAGTGTCGGACTGAAGACAAGTAATAAAGTACATGCAGTGTCGGACTGAAGACAAGCAGTGTCGGACTGAAGACAAGCACTAAAGTACATGCAGTGTCGGACTGTAGACAAGCACTAAAGTACATGCAGTGTCGGACTGTAGACAAGCACTGAAGTACATGCAGTGTCGGACTGAAGACACCGAGGCTTATCTCCACCCTGATCACTGCGGTTAATTAAACATTAAGTACTGTAACATTTTTGCCGGCGATTTCTCATATGTTTTCCCTGATATTTTGTATTATGTTAGTGTTATACTAGGCTTCTTTGATGGATGTTATATTATTTTGTTTTTAATTATTGATAATGACTTGGCATTGGAATGCTATTATTTCATGTATGTGTTTCGCTTGAGTTGAAAATGACATATCCACTGGCAGCTTCATGTATTGTAGGATAAACTCATCTCACACTTCACCTCACAGTATTTCTATGCGTGCACAGAATGAAAAAGTGTGTGCATTGAACTAAACTTTTATTCTAGTCATTAGGGAGTGCCTAGTGATAGCTTACAGGTAATCAACCGTACCCATTGCGGTATTGTCGACTCCAATACTATTGTTTCAATATAATTTTTCCGTCTATCGTCAGATCCATGACCGGTCTTCCAATATACCATGACCAGAGGACGTGTAGATACGCATTATATCCACGACCGCAAACCCTTCTGGAGAAGCAAGAGAATCCTTTTTGTTTGCACTTATAGAGACCTGGCGTATATAATCGATGGTTCTGTATGGGTAATTCCTCCAGGGATGGAAATTGTGATTGTTGGGGCACCCCGGGGAACACTATTGCCAACATGTAAAATAATCAATCAATACCTTTCCAAAAACATCTGTGCAAAAGACAATATTAATCATGGTTTGAATTCCACTTTAATATCCCACTGGAGAAGGAAATACTTAAGATCAGTCATAATATTCACTCAGTAATCGTAGTAGACTCAGGTTCTGGTTTTTGAAGCATTGTACTGTTATTCCCTTCAGCGCATGATCACGCACATGGCATACCGTTCTTGTATGCAAATAATTGTATTTAATTATATCGACAATGGAACTATGATGCATGTTTACATTAATAATTAGATCCGGCAATACTGGTTTATTGATATCAGATACTTATAGATATGAAACGTCAACGCCAGAGAATTACCAGTCTAGATTATCACACGGAACAGATTCCATTAGGCGTTAGAGGATTAGGCAAAACAGCAATGAAAATTATATGAATGGATCACTGTAAATCAGTGATGAGGTTATGTGTTTGCGATAAGGATAAGCATGGGTAAGCATGTCCTACGTAAAGGTAGCACCCGCCATTAACACAGTTTCCACAGAAAGTAAGTTTATGTTGCCTGACACCGCACAGCAGAGCTCCTGCCATGCGACGGCGGCCTACAAACAAACCAGACAATCAAGTGATGGACCAGAAAAACTCCAGCAACACTAGCGCTTTTACTGATTTTGTTGAAGCTAAAACCGAGATGTTAATTTGGAACACCTTCCACACTGCACAAGCGCAGAGATTCTGTTGTAAAAGTAAAGGATGGTGAGGTGAAATGGGGTTCTCATTATTGCACTCATCTAGCGACGTGCAGTGTGTGTGCGTATGTGTGTGCGTGTGTGTGTGTGCGTGTGTGCGTGTGTGCGTGCGTGCGTCTGTGTCTGTGCGTCTGTGTCTGTGCGTCTGTGTCTGTGCGTCTGTGTGTGTCTGTGTGCTTTAACTTGTCCGGACTAATGACGAATTTATAGTACTAGTCCTCTGAGATACAATACCGCAGTTTAACATAAATACCCCACTCAGACACGGTACACTGACTCCGAACCGACCAGTCCTTGTTGAAGCCCCTTAATGCCGAGCGCCAGCCAGGATAACAACAAGTACCATCTTTTTACGTCTTTTGGTATGACGTCGACGGGAATCGAACTCCAGACCTCCTGCTCTCCGACCGGCCTCTCCACCATTAGACCTTGTCGCTTATTGTATGATCGGCTATACAAATCATACTATTACCGACCAAACAGCACATTGCTTTGAATTTATTTATGTCTTATATATGCAAATATCAAATACGATTCGTTAAGGTTCTTTCCGTGTGATCAATACAACGAAATATTTACTTTCTGTTCGACATAATTATAGTTTTCATTATCTCCACGGTTTCAGTTAGTGTGTCAATAACCTCATTCGATGCACGCGAGTATTCTGCTGTAACGTCAAATATCACTGTTAACGTTATACATAAACCATTGTTAACCATATACAGAAGCCATTGTTGACGTGACACGTAACAATGGTGACACTGCAGTATACTACAGTAACTTTCCTGACACGTTTCAATACTAAGGACGTTACAATTTAACAAAACTGATTATCCAGTGTCGAGGATTTCGAATTTATGAAATATATATATTTATTAATCATACTGTTTTCTTGAAACTGACGCAAAAACTGGACAAACGCAAAATATCTGACACTGAGAGTATTACAGTTGTATCTCGACGTGTGTGCATATTCGTTCGTCAACAACACAGCAGATTCGGAAAATTCAGTTCAATAATCAAAGTAGCGTTTGAGAACCAGTATCACACGACAAAATATTGATATCAATTGCACCATACGGACCATCAAAACAATACTTCGATCTCATCCTCTTCTTGTTACAAGAGCCAGTATGTTTCATGCAGCGAGATGGTGTCTAGCCGGGAGGGCCACATTTCAGAAATGGCTATTGCCGGTAGAGCCACATTTTCAGCTGAGTGCATTTCACCTATTCTAGCGGGTAATTAATTAATCCGATTACCGGCACCATACGGACCATCAAAACAATACTTCGATCTGGTATGTTTTAAGCAACTTAACCAACGTGTTGAATAAGTAAACGTTCTTATACGAACAATTTTAGGATCACATCACCAATATTGTAGAAGAAGATAAAAATGAAGAATAATAATCACAATATTAAAATAACAGATGTTCCTCAAGCAGTGGTGGTACACTCAGTGTTATTTGTATCTGTGTCACTGGAACCAACTTCCTCATTTGACAGGTAGTATCCTAACATTACTGGAACATTATAGAAATAGTAATATATCATGATGAACACAATTTCATTTACATCACTGACTGTCGAGGTTGTGTGAGCCACTGGTATAGTGCCGACATACCATAAATCGCAATTTGGGCGAAGTGAAGATTCGAACACCCCTATTAGAGGATCCTTGCAATGTCCACAAGTGCAACACCATTTGCAAAATTTAGTCCATAAGACCCCCAACAATCTCGTTGGAGAAGAAAATCAGAAAGTATCAGCAATGGAATTCTCAATGTCGGGCACCTCAATACTACCCGAACACAAAAAGTCAAAACTTGACAGCATTAACGAAATCGTACATCTCCAACAAAGGATAGTGTATGTGACTCACCCAACTTGACAGTCCATGATTGTCCCCTTGGCATGTACGCACAGACAGCCAACACAAGCACTACTCCCCTCATCCTCTTCTTGTTACAAGAGCCAGTATGTTTCATGCAGCGAGATCGTGTGGTAGAATCGCTTGGCTGCATCTGCGGCCTCACTAACGTGGGTAACACAAATAATCAATATTCACAGTGCTGACAGGTATGCACAGCGAGGCTTCATCTGGCACAGCAGCATTAGGATACTTGTATATAAGCTACCTTGACCGGAGACAACGACTCAGTTAGTTAGAACAAAGAATTGCTGGTCTACATGTACATCATTAAAACCATACCCTACTTCAATGAATATTAAACTTCAACGCCAGAAGATAACCAGTGCCGATTATCCGCCGTTACAGGTGAGTCGCGTCCAAGATTATTGCACTTATACACGTGTGTGTGCGCGCTTGTACTAATCCGGACTGATGCCGATTTATAATGCTAGCTCACAGAGATACCCAACTAGGACACAGTATACTGACTCCGAGACGACCAGTCCTTAATGCCGAGCGTCAGACAGGGTAACATCTTTTGACGTCTTTTGGTATGACGCGGCCGGGGATCGAACCCCGGACGCTCTACCACTAGGCCACGCAGGCGGTCTCCACTGTAACAGATTCCATTGGGCGTAAAATGCAAAAATAGTGAAAACAATCAGTGGTGACACCAGGTGTTCACGAAAATGGTAAGCATGTCCTGCGCTACCGGTAACTCGCCACTCACACAATGGGCATCAAAAAGTAAGTGTTTGTTTGTTGCCTAAGCAATTGTCATGACGGCTGATTAATAGTGCAGGAGTTGATCATGATCAGCACACTAACTGAAAGACACATTGGTGATTTTGTCGATTCAAGACAAGACAAGACAAGACAATTTATTCAGTATAGAGGCCAATGGCCCAAAATACAGACATATAGAGGTTTCATTTCTTAGCGCTGCTATACATCACAATACACACATATACGCACTCATATATATATATATATACATACATACATACATACATACATACATACATACATACATACATACATACATACATACATGTATATATTTATATATATAATTATATATATACACACACATGTATATAGTAGAAGTACTTAGAGGTAACTACTTAGAGGTACTTAGTAGTTAGACATATACACACATATCGTATGTAGCATTCTTGGAAAATATGTATATTAAGTGTTATTGAACATTTTTCTTATTTTTTGCACATTAAATAGGTATAAACAGAGATCATTTATTGTTTGTTTATTTTGAGTGTTCATAATATTTATGAATATGTTTACTGCACTGTCATTTCTGATGTATTTACTAATATACTTTTTCTAATATAGGTATATGCATCACATACAAGTAAAACATGAATCTCGTCTTCTAAGTGCATTTTAGCCTTCAATGAGGACATAGTCTGGTAATGGTATGGTATATTAGTGCATATTCCTGTTTCTGTCATAAGTTTAAAATTGCCACATCGAAATCTTGTGAAACCAATTCTCAAATGTAAACTTTAAGGATAGCAATGCACAAGAATGTTTCTACGTGTAAAAGTGTCTTATATTACACATAGTCAGCACATTTATGAGAAGAGTGTAGTGTATAATACCAGATTTGTTTAAAATTATCAAGAAGTCTTATATTAAATAATCTGATGAATATGTTAATATTCCTAACGTCCTGGCTAATCCATACAAAACCAAACCTAAATTGAAATAGAATATGTTTGATATGTGTAGCCCATGTGACTCTGCAAGCATCATCAAGAGACTTTAACATTAAATAACATAGATGAGGTAGCCTATTTCTATCTAGAGTGATTAATCGACACCAGAACTTAACTGTCCGTGACATGTATGTTAGCTGAAGTGAAGCTCTACCACATTCACCCAGTACCATACTATTATTGTATGTAGTTTTACTAACCTTCAGGAAATATTTGCACATTCTTATCTGAACATTTTTAGTAGTTTTACAATATGTTGTTCCCCAGATTTCTGACCCATAGCACACTATTGGTGAAACCTTTGCATCAAAAGTCCTGAAAATATCAGCACAATTAATATTACCGGCTTTCTTTTGATAATGTATATTGCCATTAGGGCTTTATTTGCTTGTGATGCAACAGGACTGTGCTCTAGTCCAAACTAGTCTGGGTGTAAATACTATACCTAATTATCTATAAAATGACACCACCTCAAGCTTCTGGTCGTGAAGAGACCAATTCTCATAGTGTCGCAGTGGGCCGCTGTTACCAAACAACATAGCCTTAGTCTTTTTCAAATTTACTTTCATACCAGTGAATTCACACAAATAATCCAAACCAATTATATTTTTTTTGTAACTGTTATGCAGTATCAGCGACTGCAGAAACATCATCAACAAACATGAGAGCAAATAGATTATTTGCATCATGAGATATGTATACACCTTGTCCACCATATTCTTCCATCATACTAAGTTGATTGATGAAAATAATAAACATCTGGGGATGAGATACATCCTTGACTAGTGCCAACATTGCAATGGAAGTAACTAGACAATCCGTTTGAAGTTCTTACACAGGCTGATAGCTATGAATACATTAATGAAAGAATATTGAAGATTTTCCCATTTATACCCACATTTTTAAGGCTTGACAGTTATACATCATGTTTAACAGTATCAAAAGCTTTGGAAAAAATCAATAAACAAACAGTAGAATCTCCCTTTCTCTTTGCAGGCATATTTCTGGATCATTGCATCGAGTGAAAATATATTATCAGCAGTGGAATAATTTGATCTGAATCCTGCTTGTGTCTCATGAAAAATATTATTTTGATCACACCACTGTCGTAACCGATTGTTTAAAATGGAAGTGAATATCTTACACATAGAGTAAATGGGACAAATAATTTTTTTCACCCAGATATCAGGAAAAGATTCGTCTAGGAATATTTTATAAAATATTAAAGTAAAGAGAGAAAGTGTGTAAGATTTTGATGCTTAAAAAAAAACCCAGTTGAGATGTCATATATATATCGTTTAACCACTTTTCCTTGATAAGAATGGTTTCACCGCCACTCTGGCGTCCTAACTGTTTAGTCTTAATCCTCACACTGTTTAGCGGACAGAAACCGGACAGAAAGAATTCATTATCTGCCTTCATTAAAGATTCACAAAAACATACAAGGTCATAATTAGCACATACATATTTCACCTGAGAGTACGGGTTGTCATGTTTATGTAAGCCATTCAGTTAGTTCTATTGAGATACAGTATCGTCGATAGAACCTTTGTATATTTTCGTATTGGTGTAGTGAGATGACCAGGAATCAATCAACACACATTAAACATTTATCGATTGTATCTAGCTATCTGAAATAATTCACTTAGGTATATGGGTTTGGTATCAAAGGAATGGTGAATGGCCCAATATTCACATCTACCAATGCATTATTGATTAATCATTTATTATTTAACGTCAGTTGTGTAACAGACAGGTGATGGCAATACTGGCATCAATATTGAAACCATTGAATGTTTTCGAGTAGCTAATGAGAAATGTAGCATCTGCTTTTTCTTGGAAAAAAAGAAGTCTTTAAAAACTTGTTTGCTCTCAGACTTTATAACCAAGCAGACATGCCCTTGGCTCAAAACAAAACATTGAAGCTGAGTTCCAGCAGCAAGTTGCAAAGGTAAAGCTGATGCATATTCATTTAGAGGGGAATGATCCGAAAATAGGGGCAGTGCCGAGGTGGCCTACCAGTTAAAGTGTTTGCTCATCACACCGAAGATCAAGGTTCTATTCTCAACATGAGTACAATTGGTTTTGAACCCATTCATTGTGTCCCCTGCTATGACAAAGCTGAAAAACATTCGATTTAGATTTTCGCCCTTGCCTTGTAGGCAAAGTGGTATCCATTTCCGGTGATGCCAATCCTGGCAATGAGGCATTCAACCGTTAAATCAGTATGAAATACAGTTAATACAAATCCAGGGGTCTTGTACTCAAGAACATCTTTTGACATGTATGCAGACTGCCAACACGTTTTAAAATATTAAGTTAGTTTATTTGTCTTTTGTATTTGATAACCTACGTGTAGTGCCCTTGAACATCCTGCAATACTCTTGTCATTGTTATTGCCAACAATTGACCCAGACTACCTTTTGTAAGTCGCGATCAGGTAGGGTATTGCTTATGATACAGTCGGAATCGTATAATGGACCCTTTGTAGAAATTTCTTTGGAGTTTGTCGGTTTTTAATGTTCGATACAATTCCCTATTTTGACTTGTACCTTATGTTCCCATGTTGCTCTTTCGGTGAACAATTGACTTGTCTTTGCATGTGTTTGTGGTACAGGATAGGCTCACCTTTTCGCAAACACCTGGTATCATCGCTACTTGACATTGATTCATAAACACAATCACGTTTTATCATACAGTCGAAATCGTACAATGAACTCATTTTATAGACAGTTTATGATCATAGAAATGTTTTGTCGCTTTTATTTAAGATTAATTAAATAATCATACATGATAAAGCTATCAAGAAACCTTTATCGTTACGACAATAAAGTTCCTTGAAATTATTATCTTTTGTTTGGAGACACTTCACTCAAAGTGGTACTCAGTGGTCTCAGCCGTCCCGACTCGCCTTACAGAGTTCCACCTCATAGTATCTGGGATCAGCTGGTCATGGGTTCGAATCCCATATACGCCCCGAGTATGATAGCGGATATGTGAACAACTGTACTGGTTATGTTTGAAAACTTAGTAAAGGTCAACTGTTTGCATCACTTTGGACCTTAATCTCTTTTTAAACAGACACGTGGAGAAAGAAATATCTATTCACCAATGTCACTGGATTTCTGGTCCATCACTTGATTATCTGGTTGTATACAGACCGCCGTCCGATGGCAGGTCAACCGCTGTTCGGTGTCATGCAACAAACACATACCTTTTATGAACATTGTGTCAGTGGTGGGTGCTACCAGTAGGGCAGGCCATGCTTACCCTTATTGCGAACACCTGGTGTCATCACTGATGTTTAGTTATCTATTCACATGCTTTACTTTTCACCGATAGTTTGCCCTTTACGCCCAATGGAATCTGTTTCTGTGGATATACACTTGAAATACACGGAAGCAAATCACACACTGACTTTATAAACAAATCAGATCGGACAATAATTAATTGCTATCACGGATTCACTATCCCGGCATCCTCTTGACAACGTCAATAAAAAGATAGTTCTTTGAGGTCCTTTTTTGAAGCTCTTTTGCGCAGGTCTGGAAACGAGAATCATAAAACACGAAAACCAAAGTGATAATTAGAAAATAAAGAGC